GGGTTTTTTTGTGTTCAATATATATATATTATTGATTTGGCCTCTTATGTTTGTGCTGTATCCATTCATTTGTCTGTTCAGTTGATTTGTATGGATTTGTCCTGCATTTATTTCAGTGTGCAGACATGCGGGGTGTGTTATATACAGACCTTTTGAATGTGTATTTATCCTTTTGTTGTATAATATGCTTTGATTCTGTGCTTTCCATCTTGTAGAGTCACTGTGTGACTTCAGTTTCGAAAGGAGCTGATGGTTTACCTGCTTTGTTTTATCCTTATTCAATAAAGGAACATAATGTTACACTTTGTGTTTTTATATTTATATGGAATGTGTATTTTATATGACAGAGTATTAAGGCCACACTAAGGAAGAGGGAAAAAGTCATACATTTATGAGGCTGGTTCTTTTTTCCCTAAAAGATGCATATTCTTTTTACAGTCCTGATACATATGACAATGTGATGCTGATGTGCCAAAAGATTAAGTATGTCCTTGATTGTGGAACCATACTGAAGAACAATTCCACGAAATGCCCCACAGCTGTCATTTTAACAACTGTCCTCCTCTAAAACAACGGGTTACAATATTATTAAAGACTTCATTATCGAAGTCTGTGAATTTTCTTTTTTTTTCCCTCTGTGGCCCTAATATTCTATCATTTTATATATAGCCTTATAATCTATGGGAAACTTAAATTATCTAATGATAGCAACATCATCTAAAAGTCATCATTTATCCAAAATGATTGAAATTAATGATCACAAACGTTTAAACAATGACAGTGGGTCTAATTATATGTGATAACAATGTATAGTGTGCAGTGAAATAACTATTGGTTTCCGTTTGTGGTGACTGCTGACTGACATAAGGGATGAGATTAAATAAATCCTGGAACTTAGCCTGGTCTGGAGCAGGCTAGCTCCACAGAATAAATCTCCATGGTAATTTATACCATAACATCCTACTGCCATCTAATCCAGCTTTAGTGCAACCGGATCACGGATAAATTGAGCCAGGATCACCAAGATATCCCGGCTTAATCCCTTATCCGAGTTTTATGCAATAGGCCCCTGGTTGGTAATCACTAAACCTTATTCTATTTTTAAGATAAACAAAGTAAACTTGAAATATTGACCATTCAGGTCCCTCTGCTGCAACAGTTGAAGTGCTGAATTTTTATTGCATGCTTTATGTTTCTTATTGCATCAGAAAATGCAGCAGATGGTTAGTCTGAAAAGCCTTGCAGCTTTAAGCTTAAATGGCTTTATTCCTATCAAAAAAATAGAGCTGCCTTCCCTTGCAAATCAAAAGCTGAAGTGATGGCAAATGTTTGCGTGGTGTGTCTTTGTGATTTTAAGAACTTGAAGGACTCTACTGTTGATACAGTGCTGCTGAGTATCAGAAGGGGGTAGGGTGGGGGTGCTACTCCTGAGGTCCTGAGGTTATCTCTACTGTTTTGAGTATGTTCAGCTCCAGGTTGTTGCGACTGCACCACAGGGTGAGCTGTTCCATCTCCCTTCTGTAGGCCAACTTGTCACTATCTCGGATGAGATCGATGACCGCTGTGTCATCTGCGAGCTTCAGGAGTTTAATAGAGGCATACTCGGAGGTGCAGTCATTTGGGTGGGGGCTGGGGGGACGTGGGGTGACCATGGGGAGAGCAGCTGCTGGGTCTGAGATGTAGAGTTCTGTTTCTCAATCCTACAGTAAAACACATTCAGGCTATCTGCCAGTTGATTGTCTTTCACAGAGAGTAGGGGGGGTGGGGGTTCCTGTAGCCAGTAAAGTTTTTCAGGCTTCTCCACGCAGATGAGGGATCATTGGCTGAAAACTGTTTTTTCTGCTTTTTGGAGTAACTCCTCTTTGCTGCTCTGATCTCCCTTGTCAGTATGTTCCTGACCTGCCTGTACAGGATTCTGTCCCCACTTATGTATGTCTCCTCTTTGGCATGATGAAATTGCTTGAGTTTTACTGTGAACCAGGGCTGCTTGTTGTTGTTGTTGTATGTGCAGAAGGTTTTGGTGGGCGCACACATGTCCTCCCAAAACCTGATGTATGATGTCACACTGTCAGTGAGTTCATCCAGGTCTGTAGATGCAGTCACAAATACAGTCCAATCTGTGCAGTCAAAACAGGCCTGTAGCTCTGATTTTGCCTTATTGGTACATCCCTTCACTGTTTTGACCACAGGCTTTGCTGCAGCTTTAAGTTTCTGCCTATAGTTTGGAATGAGAAGGACCATACAGTGATTGGAGAGACTGAAGGGACAGAGCAATAGGTGTCCTTTATTACCATGTAGCAGTCATCCATTGTTTATTGTATTTATCTCTGGTGAGGCAACTGACATGCCTCCTGTATTTGGGCTGTTCGTGAGTGAGGTTTTCTCTATTAAAATCCCCTAGAACAATGAGTGGAGAGTCAGGATGTTTCAGTTTGAAATATAGTTATCTGTTCAGCCACGTGCTGTAGTGTGCCAGCGTGGGTCTGCAGTGTTATATACACCCTGACCAGAATGAAAATGGACTTGTCCTCAATATAAAATATATACCAGATGCAAATATATCACCATCTTTTAGTTACTGACCTACATTTTAAAGTGTTAAAGGGATACTGCTGGAAAATAAAATATCAAGTGTTGCCCCCTAATCAAATACTAATACTACTGATTTGGTCACACAGTTGCTGTTCTTATCAGTTGCAGGATCCCTTACTGTTGACTGATGTTATTATATCCTCTCACACAGAGACTCAGAAGCAAAATAAAGTTTACTTGATTCATCTCATAAGCAGGATGTAATGAATGAGAGAGAAGTACAGGCCTTAAAAACAAACATATGCAAAGTTTTTTTCCCTGCTCATTTTAAAGGTAGAGTACAGCCTAACAGTATACACATGAATTGTACTGTACAGGAGAGCATATATGTATGTAATTACTTAGCATGGGTGAAGCCAGGGGCAAGTCCAAGTGTGTAACCATAGCAGAGTTAGTTTATTCATACTGTAAAGCTATTTTGCTCAATTTGGGTTAAACACCTTCATCAAGGACAATTACAGCATGGTTAATCACAGGGGAACAAAATAAAAATCATATATATACAGTACACTTTACTATTACAGATAAGCAGGGGCAGATCTAGAACATTTTAGAAGGGCTGGCACATTTTAAATACATGTAAAAACAAAATGAAACCACTAATTCTATGAAATAATAAACCATCCATTATTAAGAAACAAATAACTGAGTTTAAACACTCCCACAACCCTAATCCTAACCCAAAAACACAGTGGCCATGTTTCCACACATTTTAATAATAATAGAACTGGAGTAAAGGTGCAGCAGCTGCTCTTAAAAGTTGGATAGGTCCTTAAGCTCTGGCTAATGAGTAGAATGTCAAATAAAGAGCATAAAAACCTAAAGGCACCAAAACAATCTTCGCTACAATTTAACTCAACATGTGTGAGAGATATCAATTGTTTCCCTATTTTAGAACAGCTAAAACTTTGTTGCCGCTGGGATAATGAGAGGACAGAATGAATAAAATAACTTCTCAGATGACAAGAAAGCAATTAATTATGGTTATCAGGCTTATATTGATCATTTTGCAGTGTCAGGATGCCTACTCTATCACCACTTGCTAACCTCTAAAATGGGGCGTATCTTCATATGTGTGTATGAATTAAAGAACTATTTCTGCAAAGTAGCAGCAGTGAGGTTTGTTGTCACTGAGGAAAGAGAGTAGACTACTACTCAGGCTGGAGGTGCTGCCTGCAGCATTTCTGCCATTGCTCAGTGGTGCCTGGAGACAAATTATGTGTGAACATGTTGGTTCCCACCACCTCTTAGTTGGAGCAAATGCTGCAAGCAGCAGACAACTGTTCACTGGGGTGTGTATGTACAGTATGTGTGAGTAGATTTGTGGGTGCATGTCTCAAATGAACATAAGTACTGTATATATTGTTTGGCATATGTGTGTATGTTATACTTTATGTGTACAATAAGTGTGAAAATGCCCATATCTGTGCATGAGCATCAGAGCCTGAACATCTGTTCTTACAGCTGCTGTATGTTTGTGCTTATGTATTTACTGTATATGTGTGTGAGATAAGTTTACCCTCTTGCACAAGCTTTTGGAAGCTCATTCAAGACTAGTTTTTTTTTGTCACGGTGTGTAACTGGGATCCACTTAAAGGACACATCACACAGAACAGCACTAATCAAGTAGTAAAAATGTTGGATTGAGGACAGAGAAACACACTTTACACTAAATGCAAATAAACTACTTTTGTAAAATGTTGTATGGTGAAAATCCCTTTTTATGATAGTCTATTGGGGGGGTTGTCTAATTCCAAATAAAACAGTACAAGTCATTCTAGTTACTGACTGAAAACTAAATGTTCAAATACTACAACATTCCTCCCTGTGGTGATAACTGAGTATCACAAAAACATGACAACGTTTAGTAAAATGGACAAACAAAGCGCATATCACAATATGAAAGACCTGTATGAAGCACTATAAAAGTGTATGAATCAGCTAACCTAATAAAATAAAAGAGCTGCATGGAGTAGTTACCTTGTGTTTTTTTTCTGTGGTGACCCTATTCCACTGTGGCCCGGAGAACTTGCATATCGTGCTGTGAGACTGTGGAGAGAGCAGAGGAGATGACAGACAACACAGTTTGACAAGGAATGAGACCAGTATCCTTCTGAAGATTTATGAATGTGATAATGTGAGTAAGACGAGGCATACAGACATACAAGTAGTAGACAGAAAGATTTGGCATAAGAGTTGCTGTTTTTTCACTGTGTTTACAAAGCGTATATTCTACTTGCAAATTAGAGACAAAACCACACAAAATAGAACAAGAGACAAATATTGTACAAGTATTCAAACTTAAATAAAAATATCCTTCACATAGTTACAAGGCTCAGCTAATTTATGCTAATGTTATTTGCCAAATTGATTTTTTATTTTTATATTTAGCTTGGTTGCTGTTAACATGTAGTAACATTAACATGTTTATGAAGGCATTTTCACGTGTAAGAGTTTTCTGTGTAATTTATAAAAATTATTTAAAAAAAATGAAAATAATTTAAATGACCACAGGAATAATAGCTGCTAACAAAGTGAATGTTGTAAACTCACCATAAGAATAATTTCAATAGCAATATCAAAGTATGGTTATAATATGCTTAATTTCCGTAGTTTTAGCTAAGATAACTTCTAGAATCATCCACACAAAATGATGATTGTACTTCACACCTACCTACTGCAAGGTTAACAGAGCATAAAGTAACACCATTTTACACAGTGAAGCCCCCTTTCATATAGTTTAACAAAAATATTAAAACCCTTAACTACTACACCACAAATAAAAAAATAATAATTGCACACTTACTCCTTGCTCCCACAAGCTGAGAAACTTTGTTTTCCTAATCACTTCCTATTGATGAGACAGCCACACAGCAGTAGTTCAATAAGTTCAGCTGTAAGACTGCTTTGTGCTCTACAATGACTAGAGTACTTCAACTAGTTATGCTTCAGCTGAAGGCCAGTGGAAGCCACAAACACCAGAAGTCTGTTTAGATGTCCTTCTTTTCTGACAAGGGGGAACAATTTACTCTCTGTTTTGTGTTTGTGGGCTGCTGGTTTGGCGTTGGTGAGTGACAGTGCATGGAGACAATAAACTACCTATACTGGGAGGCTGAATGACGCACTGCAGTCATCACATCTAATTGTCTGCACAGTCTGCTCTAGCTGTGCAGCACTCAATAACAAGATCTGAGTCAGAGTTGCATGGCACTGAATATAAACAAATGTCAACATTTGCTAATGCCAAAATTTTAACATTTCATGCATTTAGCTGACACCATGACCCATGAGGGAATAAAAAGAGTAGAAAAAAGGCTACTAGAAAACCAACAATACAGTAATTTATATTGCTATGAGTAGATTGCTGGAAAATATAAATGTCTTATATATGTATATATACCCAAATTTATGTTACAAGGACTGTGACTTTTATAAAGCCTGCTGCTGATGACTTTTTGGCAGCTTATTATTCATGCATCATTTCCTTTTATGCAGAAGTACAGTAAAAGGGGAACAGGTTCAGGCTTTGCCGAGGGAATTTCAGTCAATACACTGAATAAATGCAATCACTCTGTACGCTAAAATCAGTGGAGCAACAATGTGCTGTTTAATGCTTTGCTCACAAAGGTCAAACTCTGAAAAACAAGGATAATTTAAGGCGGTAAGCAGAATTTTAATTGTCTCACTCACTAAATGTGCCTTTAGCTTCACTGTGCCTTGCTCTCATAAACACAGATGTAACGACACACATGCACAGACATTCTCCTTTTACATTGCTACCTCTACACAATTAACCTCACTTTTAAACCCTCTGCAATGAGGCACAGAGTAACTATACATTTCTGACTGACCCTGCAGATTTTCATGATGCAGAGTTATGCTAACAAGCTTCAGAGAAGCCAGCAGAAGACAGGGGAAACAGTTCCAAAGCAGCTTTCTATTATAGTGGTGAGCACCTTTGTATCATGTTGTTAATGAAATATATGATGCATGCACATTGGTTAATTATGTCTGGCAACTAAGTATTAGTAGCATGTTTTGTGCTCTATTAAATATTCTAAATGGCACTTAGTACACAAAAACGAGAGATTAATGGAGCCAGGCACACTGTAAAATGCATTTTCAGCATTTAAATGAATAAAAGGATTGAGCTTAGATTTGTGCATCTTTGTCTTGTTGCTCTCGTTCTGTCTTTTCTTTCTTTTTGTTCGTATTCAGAGTGGGAGTGTAGTACAGGGCTGTTAGCAGGGAGGAACATGGGATATCTTCAAAGGCAACAAAGGTCACAGAAGTCTGAGGGAAAGTAGTGCAAGTGCAGCCAAGAGTTATATATGACAACAAAACAAAACAAAAACAGGGGTGCTGTGGTGCACAGTTTTTCCACTACAAGACCCATTCTGACCTCCTTGCTCCACCTCTAACTTTAAGAAAAGCAATGAAATATGAAGGTAATGGTACAGAATCTCTAGCCTGGAGTGCTTATCCAACCCACAACATTTAAGATCTTTCCAATGTGAAAAAAGAGACACCAGAACTCACTGGGACAAGATCTAGGAGTGGGGTAGTAATGATGAAGAGGTGGGGTACAGTCTGTCACTTTTAATCAAATACAACATACATCAACAGGGCCTCTGTCTAATAGTCCATGACACTGCAGAATATATCCAAGCGATACTGGATGCCATCACTGCCCTATTCAAAATGAATAATATAGGTTTCGGCTCAATTACTGCCACAGCTCTGAGGGCAGATGCAAACTGATGAGTTCTAAACCCAAAATGGCAGCCACTCTGGCATTCAGGCCTGCATAATGACAACAAGTAATGAGTTATGAGTTGTCATCTGACTTTGCATCTAGGGGGAATCTGTTCAAACAGTTTGATGCTACTACAAGTCTTGTTGCTTGAATGCAGACACACACATAAAGTCACGTATCTATTTGAGCATGTGTCACAATCAACTCAGTATCTACTGATTAGGGGTTTAGGTGGCCAACATGAACCCCAACATCACAGTTCATGTCTGGCTGGGAATCCTTGTTAGTACCCATCTTCCTCAGGTCCTTTGTTTTGTGTCACTTCTTTCTTATCATCTACTTAAGACATACAGTAGAATATCTGAAAATATCTAAATTAATCATATTAATATATTCTGATTCAGCACCACCTATGGTTAAGCTAGAAGTGCAGAATTTAAATCAGGAGAAAGATGGTCACAGTCAAAAAAAACAACTTTGACTGTTGTAGTAGTCAGGATGTAAAACAAAGTCAGGTGATATGTCTACCCATCTAGCCACATCTTCCCTAAGAGGCTTTCAGGGCAATAATCATAATACACTACCTCTAACTTTGCATCACAAAACAACAGTCAGTTTGTTGAACAAAAGAGGTTGCATGTCATAAATTTTAAGTCTTCAATATCTCACAGAAATTTAAATATTGCTTTATACTGTATATGGCAAAACAATTGTCTAATAATTACCTAAATAAGTACAAAAACAGATTCAGTTAGTTTGTTATGGGGATGGAATTAATATACAATATCAGTTCGTCATGTGTATAGTACAAAATATGGCTTTTATTGTGTAGTATACCACTTATCAAACAACCTGTTGCCAAGACTGATAAAGAACTTCAACCAAAATGTCTCAGTGAATGCATGGCAAAGACCAATAAGTTACTGATATCTATCAACAATGTATGACAAAAAGGTACAAGAACTATTCATGATGTATGACAACCCAGAATAACAACCAAGTGTAACCACACAGTTTACCAGTTCATGATGCCACAGACACTAATCCATCATCCTCATATCACCCTGTGTTTTCCAAAAAGATCCAAACTCCATTCCTTGAATTCCACCACACACTGGACAAGTTACTACTATACCTAGGAGATGAGCTGGGCTTGGTCAGAATGTTGGCTCTCCCATATGGCAAACGGGTCTTTCTGTCGCGAGACACGGCAGTAGGGAGGCGTGACGAGTGCCAGATCAGGGGGTCAACTTGTTCACCCCAGGACATGGTGAGTTAAAGAAGGAGGGTTTTCTGTGCCCTACCAGGCTGTGGCCCCCTGCCTTCTGAAGCTCTGAAAACCTCCTGTGGCTCCAGACTGGTGTGCTTTGACCAATAGGGAGTTCCCCTCAGACACGCGCACATTCACACACATCCCATCCCCTGCTCCAGAAACACCAGTTAGGCCAGCTGGTGCTGTCTATAGAGAGCCCTCAACACTGCCACTATAAATGTGCAGTTGACCAAATGTGTGAGTGTGTGTCTCTGTCTGTGTAAATCTGTCACATTATCTGTCACACAAGATAATTTGATCATTTAAAAAGCTGAACAATTTTTTATTTAAAACACCCATCTTGTCTTTTATGAAGTTATTCAGACATGCTAAATCTTCACAGTCGACTGGAGCCCACAGGAATTTATCACTGTGGAAAATTGCAGTTACATACATTTTTTTAAACAGATTTAATTACATTTCACTCTTTCGAAGGTAAAGATAAAAGAAAGTCTGCACACCAGCCAGGCATGTAGTCTCAAATAAAAGAACATTACAGATCTTTAATATAATTTTGGGTTGACATGGTACAATATGAAAAGTGCAGAGAAAGCAAACCTAATTGTCAGTTTGTGCTCTGGGTACAAGCTATGCAGCTGTTTCTTTATATAAACTCAATTTCATATGGTCAAATGCAACACACAAGACATTTACAATGCAGTGATTGTTATCCCTTTTAATCTCATCTTCCTATTTTACTTACTGTTAAATAATATACTGTATTTTTTTTTACAGGTGTGAATAGTACAGTAACTGCAGTTTAAGAACTTTAAAGAAACCGTTATCACAAAGCAAACAGATGTTCTCCAACACTGCACTAGAAACAGAAAGTAGAGCATGGGATGTCATTCTCAGCAGAATTTGGTTCAAAAACAACATGGAAAAAAATTATTTGTGTCTGATATTTGACTCACACACTCATGATCCCCTGGCTCATTCTAAATTCATCACCCTGACACACACACACACACACACCCACACACACACACACACACACTCCGGAACTGCAGGAGTGTTGAACGTGATATAAACCACTTAAGATTCATTTACCAGCCTGGACTGATGCAGTGGTGTGCTTCAGACTTTGTTGTTGGGTGTGTGAGAGTATTCTCCACCTGCATACACACGATACACTGACCTCACTGCTACCATTTTCTAACTCGTCCAAACAGAGTGAAGCTAAGGCTCTTGACAGTATCATCTTACCCACATACCCTCTCCTCAAATGATGAGACACACTGATCTTGTTGCACTGATTTTACACACATACACTGCAACAGAGTCACAAACACACAGCGAAATAGAGTGAAGGTACAGTAACTTGATCTGGTCAGAGGGAATGCTGCTTATGTGTGGCATGTCAGCCCTTCCTTTAGAAGCTCCTTTGCTGTGTCTATTTACATCACACAGAGACATACCTCCTTTGCTTTTACTGCCTTTTACTGCTTCGCTGCCTGTATGCCAACACTTCTACTGTACAGCGCATGTCTTTATATTAAAAACAATACTTCACATAGGCTACATAAAAAAGTTTAATAAAGAGCAAGAGGCACAGGCAATAAATAATTGGAAGTGGAAACATGCCAACTTCACTATGATTCAAAGGCCACAGAGGCCATTTGAGCAGTGTCTTCAAGATTGGCAGATCCACTGCCATTATTAACAGGTAAACTGTTCTACAGTTTTGGGGCACTTGTGTCTAGCCCTTCGTACAGGTAAAAGAAACTTATTTGAGGACCTCATGGATCTAACTGGCTTGTGCCACTGCAGGTGTTCACCGAGGTAAGAAGGGGCCAATCCATTAAATGCCTTAAAAACAAATAACAATAACTTAAAAATTTCATATAGTCAACCTTTGATGCACCATCTCTTAAACGGAGTAAAATGTCAAATTTTGTGCACATTCTGTAAATTCCTTTAGCAATATCTAGTGGACCAGTCTTTGTACTGCAGCATCATGTCATTTTTGTAATGATGGATAAATTGTTTTTAAACTTTCATTGTTTAGATTATAATTCTATAGAAAATACACATTATTCACATTCTGGTGGAGAGGTTTATGAGAAGATTAGTACCACTCTAACATCTGTGTGTTAAACATGAGGTTGTTAGCATAGTTTAGCGCAAAGACTGGAAACTGCTAATCAAATCTGCGTACCAGCAACCTTTTAAACTCACCAATTAATTTGTTATATCTCATTTGTTTAATCAGTGTAAAAATGGCAATACACCAATACTGGGGGTTATGTTCAGGAATATTTCTTTTAGTACATTAATAAGCATTAAATATGCCAGTAGATGGATTTTACCTCTGCTTCCAATATTTATGCAAAGAAAAAGCTAAAGCTAACAGCTTTATATTACATTTTTTAAAATGTATATATAATGGACAGATATGAAAGTCATTTAAATGTTGTAATTTATGTCTATTTATCTCTCTAGAGTGTTTGTGTTGTGTTGCGAGTTGTACTTCCCATATAATCCAAAGCTAGGACTGCACTAAAAATATAAATCTAATGTAACTCCTTGATTTTTCTGTCAGGCAACTTGACTTGTCCCTGTGGAAACTTCCTTATGGAGTTGATGCAGCAAAGGCCTTCTGAGCATTTAATGAGCAACATCTCCTATGAAGGCTGTTGCTCCTACCTATCAATTTCCTGTTTATAAAAGCTCTGGGCCTAATTAAGCATTCAAAAGTGATAAATCACCTGACCTTCATTCCAGCATGCATCCTAAAAAATATTTGGACCACTAATTCAAACCACTAACATTAACTTGCCTCTCTGCCTTCTAGGATATCTCTGCCCCAGATGAGACCAGTTTTTATTTTTAGTTATCATTTATTTAATTGTTTGAAAAAAGTGAATTTAAAAAAAGAAAAATACTAGCACCATATCACTGTAATACAAATGCATACAACTTCTCCACCAGGATAACATACCTGGACTGCATCTCTTGTGTTTTGAGGCTGCTGGTAGATGGCGTGGTGTTGCTGGTCTGCTGGCTGAGCTCCACCAAGGACTGGTAGTACTGCTGCTGTTGCTGCTGCTGCTGCTTGTAGCGCGACAGAATGAAGAAGAGGCCCAGGATGCTCTTTAGGTTGCCATTCCGGATCTCTGGAGGGACAAAACCAAAGGAAATTTTAAGCTCAACATATGAATTCATCCTGCATCCATCTTGTGTTACAGCTGCATACTGTGATTTACAGCCTGTATCTACCTCCAGCTGAACAAATTAATTTTCTTGGGATAAAGTCATTTTTGCAAAGGAAGTTGTGCAGAAGTTGTTTTTCATTTTTCTAGAACCAAAGCAGTGTCCTGTGACACTTAAAAAATTACTTTTTTCACACAATGTATCATCTTTTTTAAAAGTGCTCATACTGTACTTTTTAAAATCCACCTGGGGATAGAACTCAAGTATAGCTGTTGTGCAGCAAACATAATTTTTATAAGAGCAATTATAAACCAGCTTCCACTGGAAGTGTTACTGATGTACTATATAATATGCAAAATCAATTAAATGTATTCAGCATGAAGTAACACTTACTTGCTCACAAGAAACTGTAGTCACAGATCCAGACTAAAGCATCTGCTCACATACATAAGCTAACACGGAGCTGGGTAGATTAGGAGTGAAGCATGAGGACTGGCTAACATCTGCTCTGAGCCAAACAGCCAAAAATATAAAATACAACAGGAACTGTATTTAAAATACAGTTCTGCTTTTGCCATGAAATAAGGAACTCATAGTACGTTCACAAGTGCTGTTGGTACAGTGGTGGGATACTGACACTAATGACACATTTGTATGTATTAAGTTCACTATCAAAATTACAACTAAAGTGCAATAACCTAGCAAACAGCAGCAGAGATAATGGCAACAGAAGACTGAAAAACAATCATTCAACATATATTCAAGCCAAAATTCCAACAAGTTATCCCTCTCCTTTTTGTTTCTTATGGCGTGTTTACACTATTGCGACAAAAAGACTTTTGTGCACACCTTGGCATTGTTTTATATGTGTTGTGCCGCAAAGCCTCTGTGCAGATGTCTGTGGTGCCCAGTGTGAAACGGGGGTTCACCGAAAATTCAAAATTGTTGAACTTTGACCCCAGTTGCACTGACCTTTGTGTGTGCAGCCAATCACTGTTGACCACTGCTTGAACTAATGTGAAACTGGTTAGCCTAGTTGTGTGTTCTGATTTTCCCAAACTGTACAATAACATATGATCATCATATCAAGACCAGATAAAGAACCTATTTAACCAACAAAATACCAAGTTTTTTGAAAAAAAAAAAAAAAGAACACAATTTGAGCCTCTAAACCCTAGTGATCTACTACTAGCACCATCAGCATTGTGGTTAAGAAAGCGCCATTTTGTACAGCACCTCATGAGAGTTTCTACTTGAGTTTTTGCACCAACCAGTGCAACCAGTACTCGTAGGTGTGAATATGAGCGTGAGTCACTGTCTACAGGATAAGCAGTATGGCGGATGGATGGATATTCATATTTCCAAGAAACTGCAGCCTTGTAGATAAAGTTACCTTCTGAATATCCTGAGCTGGCAACAACAAAGAAAGCTCTTTATCAATGAGCAAGTTTGTCTGAAATGGTAATCTTATCCTCAATAGTTCTTGAGTTCATCTCAGACAAACCTCAAACAAATGCATCTCTAAAAGACTCCTGCACATACAGCCATGACAGAACTTGAACAGTCACAGAGGACACAGAGGAGGAAAAATTGATCATTGTGGCTAACGCACCCATTTGTGAAATCAACTTTTCCTATCAAACCCTCAGTGAGGGCTGGCACACAAAACCAAAGAAAGGATGGCAACAGCTGACACAGGGCTTTTTACTTTATTTTTCAATCTGGTGAGACTCAAACATCCCCAGCCATCCATGGCTATGCTGTTTGGAGTCTGTGAAAGTTGAAGGAGATTAATCTCTTGGGGGTGTTTTCCATTTTCTAACTATTTATACTGGGCCTAGGAGAGTCTGAGCAGCAGGGAGAGACAATGTTGCTGATTCAGCCAACCAAAGAGCTGCTGTGGACTGAAACTCTTGGCAAATGTTAAACGCTATAAAAATGATAATGATGAGAACAATATGAGGAATAATATTTCATCATTCCCAAAATGGAAGTTGCTCCTTGAGGTGAGGGTCAGCTATAGAACAGCTCATTTTAATATTTTATGTCTTGGAAATATAAGCTAGGTTACATTACCAACCAGGCAGTTCAGCAGCTGTCCTGAGGCCCTAGAGCTCCAGAATTAATGCTTTGAGTTGATTTATTTGACAATGATGTTGGGAATGCACAACTGCGAATTTAATAGGCTACTGGATATTGCCGGATACAAGCAGTCTACTTGTCCATTAAGGCTTTAGGAAGGTAGTGCTGAGTCTAATATTAGTTTTACTGGTGGGCTCAGATTCACTGACATGTACAGTATCAGCTTGCTTTTATTGTTTTCACTGTCAAATCTTTTCATCACTTGCTCCAAGGTTGTCCTCTTGTACAAAATGAATCTATACCTATGTTGTTTATGCCAGCTAGTTATTACGACCAATAGTTACATATTATAGTTTTGGCAACCTCTAGTGACTGTAGTAATTATGACACAAGAAAAGGAATAAGTTAGGAGGTGTAGTATATAGAGCCACAAAATCTGTTAGGAAAAAGTTGGGGTAGATGACTGGTATATAAAACACAGAACTCTCCACAGGTGAGTGGGGCTCAATGCCTGTGTGCAGTTCCACCCGCAAATGTAGGAGCACTATTTCATGAGCTGTTCCTATGGGCCATATGCATATGAGGTGTAGGAGACAAATGATGTTACCATGGTAACCAGCAACAGTGAATTGTCATGTCATTAGCTACAGCATAACTGCACTCCATTAGCTTAGCCACTTTTAGGTTGGTACAGATGCAGCCCATTTAGAAAAATATTACTTACAAAGGACAACATGTTTATGAAACAAATTCTGGACTTTGACTCTTTTCAGGACAAGAAAGGATTTGTGAATCTGAGCACTGCACTCTTCTCAGGCATTAGAAGGGAACAGAAATGGCCTGTAAGTGATGTCTCTCAACAAGCCTGTTTCCTCATGGCTAAATTTGCACCATATACCTAATTTTGTAAATATGATCAATAAATATTTTTCACTATGTTGATTTAAAAAAAACAATTTTAGTGTCATTGCATTTGCTAAAAAATGTATTGGCCTAGACCGTGCAATTTATTTTAATACTGAAATCTCAAGCATCCTCACCAGTAAGAACAAATTAACACCTTACCGACTCTTCCTTCTAGAATTACTGTATATACTGTACTATAGGAGAGATAGAACACTTTAGATATAATGATTATCTGCTTGTCATCTGACCAAAGCTTTGTGTGTGTCTGAACAAGTCTCAGTGCCACCTTTTGCTGTTTTTTGCACACTTTTTTAATTTTTAAGAGTTTTGGGAAGTTGAGGGAGTGTAAAAGATAGCCGGATTCTCTGAGACAGCGATAGGACATTGGTAAAACTCCCGTTGGACATTTTTGTCAATAATACACAGTCGTTTGCTGTTCCTGCCGCTTTGTAGCAGTGTAGTGGATATATATTTCTGCTTAGCCCTTACTCACTGAAAATGTGCCTTTGCATCTGGAAGGCCTATTACGTTTGTGATGTTGTTTCATTCAGCATTTTTTGAGAAGTTATTTAATGTGTCTCAGAGGAGGTGGGAGGAGGTGAAAAAGATTCTAGTGTGACTTAGTAATACAAAGTATAATAAAAATACTAACTCATACTTTCTTGGGTTTAACCCCAGACAATACATGTCCAAGTCAGGAGCTATCTTTACAGTTTATCTCTTATTTCTTCGCTTTTGCTGATGATCTTGGCTTCTCTCTATTTAATTATGCGTCCCCAAATAAGACCTCAAAAACAGGTTTTCTAGCCAGCCTTGTTTTGCATTCAGAAAGAATAGGAAATACATTGAACTTTAACATAAACATCTTCTGGTCAGAGAGGTGTACCCCTTGCTAACCCAACACAGATTAGTTGTTAAATAGTAGTAGGTTGAGTCATTATGTAAGTTAAGGTTATATCTAATCTATTTAAAAATGTTCCTGCATTTGATATAGTTTTTGTGCTACAGGATCACGTATGAATTTGAGTAGGTGGAGCATTTTAATTTATAGTAACACTAAGAAGCTGTGGGATAGTGCACACAGAGTAGTGCTTGTAACTAATCACATTCACAGTCACTGTGCTAATTTGTTTAGAAGGTATAATGCTAACATGTCCAATATACAGTATATAGTAGTTTAGTGAGTTGGCACGCTAATGTTTTCTAATTATCAAATAAACACTAGGTGTTTTCCATTGTGCATACTTCTCTGTACTTGTGTTCTTGGTGACTTAGAAGCGTCATCAGTCATAGCCTAAGTACTGTTCCAGTTCTGCCACCAGTCAATTACACATCAAAAAAACAGAAATCTTCTTATTTTATAGATTATACTTTGGGAGCTGACTTGTGTGAACTTGGGGCCACTAACTATCCCAGAATGCATGGTGTGCCAGCTGTTGGAGCTATCATCCTGCAACTTGTATTATTCCACTTTATAAAGTTTAGATTTTTTTTCAAGAGAGAAAGTAACATTTACATTGAGAATATGTGGTAATTTTAACAAAGTAATGCCAATTTGAAAATTTGCTCCAAGCCTTTCAGAGATGTCAGTAACTGCTAGCAGATCAGCTAGCTATAATTAGCAGAGTCTGCCAGCAAGGATGCTGATCCTCCAATTGACTGCATCCTCCCATTCAAATTTATCAAGTCTAAAGTACTGGAGTCTGCACTTGGCGTACTTACCATTACTAAAAACGCCTACTACATACATCCAAGGCCGTTATTAGTTTTGTTGTATTTCATCATAAACCAGTATATGTTATAAATTGTCAGGTTTGCCCGGCTGCACCTTCCTTTCTTCTCTTTTCTCGCCCTAGTCAGCTCCCTCACACTGATTATTTGATTAGACACACCTGCCCTGATTTTCTGACACTCATCAGCTGCACCTCTTTTGTCTCACTCCTCATTTATACTCTGCTCACCCATCACTCCCCTGCTAGTTCTTTCTACGTCGTCAGACCTCCCTAGGATTATCGCTCTTTCTTGTTTACTCCGTTATTCTAAGTATGTTTGTGTGCCCAGGAGTGATTCCTACCCCTGCAGCCCGGTCCATCATCACTCCACGTACCATAACTCCTGCTACTGCTGGTCGACACCCGGTTATATTCACCACTTCACTTTGTATATATTGATGCACTACTTAAACACTGTAAATAAATCTTTGCTTGCACCGAAGCCAGCCGCCTGGGTCTGCTGTTTTCTCCGCTCGCTCACCCTTGTGTCAAGCGTATCCCTAACATAAATGAAAGAGAAAAATATGCCAAAAAGTAATCTCAATCAAAGCCACACATAATACTGTAATTTTAGGATCTGCCACTTTGTTCAGTGTTAGTTCTTGAGAATGAGTAGTTTCTTAAATTTCTCACATCAGATTTGAAAGTTCTGGGCATTTTCTCTTTACTTGTTTTAAAACCTCTTCAACAAGATCAGTTTTTCCAAAACTTTGGTTTATAGCCTCCCATCAGAAATGCAAGGGGACTGCACATCAAACATTCCACTTTATTTTATTCCTATGCCTTTTGAAAAAGTTAATAAAAACTGCAGATGCCAGCCAAAAAAATCTGAAAAGCCTTGGGCTGATTCAATTAAATATGAGAGGGCAAACACGGCCATGCAATTCAACTCGCAAGTGTATGCCACACATGCACAGTATGCCTTGAGAGGCTGACAAAGGCAGAGAGTGAGAAAAAAAAATGATGAACTGATATAGCAATGAAATGCACCAGCAGCAGTGATGGACACAGTATCCAAATAGCTCATTTATTTACAGACCCAATTTAAACTTCAGGACTTGTGAGTCACTTTGTTATTTTAAGTGCTGTAGTAGGGGGGCACAGAATTTAGAGGTATCGGTCAATGTGTCAGGCTGCCAGACTATTTCTGCTGGAGGACAGGTCAAGGGCACACTCCCCTCTTTAAAGGGGAGCAGAATTAATATGGGGTCTAGGCAAACACAGGTTTGAAATAACAGAATAATAGAGACATGCTTGTACGGGAACTGTACTGAAAACCCTAATTAATTTAGATTTCATGTATATACTTCCTATTTACTCTTTGCAGATAATGCAAGCATTTTTTTCACATCAAGATAAATCAAAATGAATTAGTTTTCTATGGATGTTCATACACAATTATAATCAACAAACAGTGCACCATTGTCCTGTTTGATGCACATTAAATGTTCCAGAAAAGCAGCACTTTTTTCACCTTCCATTACTGTCTGAATTATGTGTATCCCATTTGTGGTGAGTTTGAAGTTTTCAAACTAAGTGGGGAATTAAGTGTCTAATTCTTAAGCTAAAGAGGTCATTTAAAAATCTATTGGGCTATTTGAAAAATGAGTTGTGACTGTGCTGTAAAGAGAGGTGCTATTCTTAGCTCAGTGAAGTTTACATGCTGGAGATATATTTCACATGACGAGGACATACTAGCTTCTGAATCTTGATTACATCAGGTCAGGTATTGTATGCGCACACCAATTGTGCCTCACAGTGCATCTTATGCGAATTGCCCTTTACAGCAGCTCTTTGAATACAGAGAACAAAACAGACTGCAGCTGAATTCATCTCTGAACTTTGAGAGAGAGTCCATATAACACAGTTAGGAATTTAACTGTGATTTTAACACTGGTCTTATAAGACAATTTACTGCCATAATGATCGCTTTCACTGCCATAGGGAAGCCTGAAGAAGAAATTGTGCACCCCTACTATGATACTATTTTATGGTAAATTCCAGTGCTGTGAAAAATTGGAAAATATTTGATACTGTAAAGAAATGGAAACCTACCCACAGAAAGCTGGGTGGTGTGGGAGCCAAATAAATTTTCTAGGTCTAAAAATTAGAAATACAAGGAGATATGTCTTCTGCTACTGCACAAATTCATTTAAGAGTTTAATCAACCCTAGAAACCCATATTTTTTATTGTTCTTACCTTCTGCTGAGAGCCCTTGTACATTCACTCCTCTGGTGTCCAGAAAACTGAGGCAAGCGTCCACATTTTTGGTCTGTGTGGAAGACGGTAGACAGTTAGCACAAAAGACAGACACAGCAAGAATGTGAAGATACTTAGCATTGAATGAGCCTAAATGTCTCAGGGCAGAGGGCTCAGAGCACGGGGGACGATCAGCGTTATTACACATAAAGCACATCATTGTGCGGTTATTACCCGACCCCCGCTTAACCCTGGGACCCGGCTGTGTGACATACTGACCACAGTGTTTCACCACTTACACAACCCACCGCATGTCACACACACGCATTCATGGGGACACACACCCATTTGTACACATAATGCCAGTCAGTGGTAAAAACACATCCAATCCAGTGGATATACTGTGTATAGGCAATAACACACAAACACAGCTGTGCTTTCATTCCTTGTGGGGACTTTACATTGACTTACATTCATTTTCTGTTGACTTATCCTAACCTTAACTATAACCACTCCTTGCCTAACACCTGACCCTAACCTTAAACCATGTCACCACCCTAAAATTCAGTGATTCCTCAACAAGAATGGTCAAGCCCCCACAATGTGAGTGTGTTAACAGCTTTCGGCCCCCATGATGTAATTAATACACAAGCACATACACACCTACAGACACACAAGTAAGTACAAGCACTGCAACACAGCAGACAGAACAAACATACACACACAAGATGAAATCCTCATGCTGTAAATACAGAGTGTGTAGGTCAGTGTGGCCCACTTGAAGCTTTTCACAACAAAGTCACCTCTGCAAAGTGGTCCTTGATGGCAGCAAATAGGTGGCTTCATTGGCATTGTGGCCAGCCAACAGTGGCCCTCAGGAGGTTTTTTATGATGAGGTCAAAGGTCAGAGTGCTCAACTTCAGCACAGTGAGACAAGGCCATACAAAGAGTAAGCTGGGCAACTCAGCCAGATGTCCAATGGGCAATGATGATTCATGAGCTGAACTTCTCTTCAGGTCTCTAAAGTTCTCATTTTCTCTCTCTTATGTCTGCTCATTCAACGTGTCTGCAAGACGTTCTTAGTGAGAGGGAGACTTTGTAGAACCAGGATAATGAGACATATCTGCATACAGGCCATTGTAGATACTTGCTAAAACTTCTCTTACTCCCTCTCTGCTGAACACCATTGTCCTCAATGGATTAATGTGCATTTCAGTGGGATTTTATTCAACTGTGAGAATTAATGCTACAGAAAGCCAGAGGACATGAGTGACCTTAAATGTTTTTTCATGAGCTAAGAATTCTGTGGTACAACAAATGTTTTGACTGGGATCACAAACTATTTTTTATGTTTGCATTAACAAATACAAATTAATCTGTGGGCTCCTACATTTCTCTCAGACATTTGCTGTATTTGATCTTATGTGAAGAACCCCTTTTCACCTTAATATTAACAACTTAATAACTTTGTGAAGAAACTAAGACTGAGGTTTTAGGATTTTATTAGACTGATTGCTGTGATTGTATACAGAAACCTTTCCAACTTGTTTTAGATGATGAAGACTACAAGCCAAAATGTATTAGTTGCAGAGTTCTTTACAGGTACCGCTGGAGCTCTGACCTCTAAGTCTATTTTAAGTACAACATTAGTCATATACCTTTATTAGGTAACAAAGTCCCAACATAAAATTTCTTTATTGTAGCTTTCCAGGCACATAGTGGTCACTGCAGTGGACAGCTATTCAAAAGTCATTTTCTCCTAAATGCACTGGTTTCTATGGTGGAACTGCACATCAGCCACTAGAGTGCGCTCTACTGCACCACTCCACTGAGGTTTATTCAGTTGTCAGTCATTAGAACTACAAATGAATTTCCTCTGAATCCAAGATGGCAGACAGACATCCACACTTGTTGACTACTGATGGAATATCCTGTCAGTCCTTCTATTCAAGAAGAATCCTAGAGGTAAAAAAATATGATATACAGTAACATCTAAGTAATAATATCATTCTCTTATTTTTGAAATTTTTATTTCCAATAAGTAGTAAATTACGATTAACCATATGTCCAACAAAGTGGACATCATGCATCATCAAGTATATTTAACTAAAGACATGTAATTGTATTCATTTAAAAATAAATAGTCTTGTGAAGATTAGTTGTAGTTTGTTTGAGTAACACAAGTGCAGCAAAGAATAGGGAAGCCTATAGAATAGTCCGGAAAATTCCCTCCGACTCCAGTGATGATGATTATAGTGACAGTGATGAGTGGCTGCCAGAGAACAATAGAGATATAGGAGCTGAGGATCATGAAGGAAATGCAGTCATTCTGGATACAGATATTCAGGATGATGAGGGCCAAGATGCAGAGGGAGGTCAGCTTGATGAGGGAGCTGTGGAAGATGTGCGCATGGTACCTGGTCACACTCAAGCCTGCAAAAATATCTGGAAATTCCAAGACAATGACTTTGATAGAGACTTGCCTCTTTCTCTAGGAGACTGGAAAGTAAATGTTGAGGGAAGAGATCCAGTAGATTTCTTTAGGAACCTGTTTCATGCAGATCTCATTGATGATATAGTGCACAACACCAACTTGTATGCTCTCCAGAAAGGGAGAGAAAATCTGGCTGTGACGAGAAGAAATGCAGATTTTTTTAGGGATCAACATGGTCATGGGGTACATTCAGTACCCTAGGGCACAAATGTACTGGTCTAGTAAGGATGGACTTCATCTCAGATTAATTGCAAATGTCTGTGAACAGACATGATGAAATTCTGGGTTATCTGCACTTTTTTTGATAACTGTACTTACGGGCCAGCAAACAATGATAGGCTCTTCAAAGTAAGACCAGTGCTGAGTGCACTTCAGGAAACATTCAAGATAGCAGCAGACCCAAAATAATTTCAGTCAGTGGATGAGCAAATCATTCAGGTCAAAAGCCTTCTGTCCATCAAACAATACATACCAAAAAAAAAGCCCAAGCCCTGGGGAGTGAAAGTTGGGTGAGTGCAGGGACCTCAGTCTACATGTACAGTTTCAAACTACTTTTGCAGCATTCCACTCATTGAGGCCTTGAAAACTGTGGCATCTATGGCACAGGTACATGCAGAGCAAACAGGCTGAAGGGAGCAAATCAGAAACTCAAGGGCGAACAGCAACTGAAAGAAGAGGGCAGAGGGGCTTGCTCATCCACATGGCCTCATCCTGTGCTGGCCAGTCCCCTGAAGATGTGGCCAAGAGATGGGCCAAGAAGGGAAGGGATGTGGCCCTTTACAATCAACACATGGGCGGGGTTGATCTCGTTGAGCAATATCCACAGATGTAGGAACAAGCATCCAAGTGTTTTTTTTTTTTTTCTTTTCATATTTTGGATGTGACCGCTGTAAATGTCTGGTCCTTAGACACTGTTGGTAGGTACTGACCACTGCAGACCAAGAACACCCACCAAGACCTGCAGTGTGGGAGATTATCTGACCCAGTCATCTCACCATCACAGGTTGAACGTGGTCAAAGACACTCAGATCCCTACACTTGCCCATTTTTCCTGCTTCCATTATATCAACTTTGAGGTCTGAATGTTCACATTCTGCCTAATATACCCCACACACTGACAGGTGCCACTAACAGATATTCAGTGTTATTCACTTCACCTGCCAGTGGTCATAATGTTATGGCCGATCGGTGTATATGAAGAGAGAATGGTTCCCTGATACACCAGTTAGGGCGCAGTGCTCTCACCGTTCGAATCAGGGTTGTGTCAGGAAGGGCATCTGGAATAAAACATGTGCCAAATGTCAGCATGTGGCAGCCCCTGATGGGAAAAAGCTGAAAGTGACATTCATGGTGTATATGAAGAGCATGGTTATGGATGCAATAAGTTTTATTTCTTAAACTTAACTTATACTTGTCTGCAATTACATGTTCGTTTGAGTAAATGTAGGTTGCTGATGGTCACAGATGGGCCAACGCGCACACCTCCCAAATCTCAACTATATGTTGTGCTGAGCTGCACATCCTGCATGTCCATTAGTTGATCTGACTTGTAGCTGTCTGCTAGCTAGCAGGTATTCACATCTCCAAAAAAACATTGGGAGAAAATGTCTATTTGCATTACATTCTCAATCTAAGTGGTTACTTTCAACCTGAAAAACATTTAATAAAAGGGGCATAATACTTGTCCTAGGACAAAAATTATAACAGCTTTGAGCCTGCCTTCAAAATCACCATTTGTTTCCTGACTTCTCCTACATTTTCTGCACTTTGCTGTGTGAGCACCCTCTAGTTAGGACATGAACGTTTGCACAAGTATAAAAGCAATAGCTATGCAACCGCCCCTGGCCAACAAACACTTATGTTCGCATATGTGCAAGTATAAGTCTGGCTTTAAGAGCACAATGTGCAATCTGACCTATTCTGCTCTGATCCCTGCTATTAACCAGGTTACCTGACTCTTTAATCACTTTGTACTGTATTTGAATAAGTTGGGAAACCCTCTTCAACTTCTTCATACTTCCACTTATACTGTATAGGGTCAGTTCAGTGATAGCTTCCTGTTTCCAAGGTCCAGAATGAAGGTCCAGATATTTTCAAGTCAACGTTGATGAAAAGTTGTTAAAATACTCAGAAACAAGGAAATATACAGCCCATGACAAATGAGCAAATTCCTTATGCCGAGTTGTGGTATAGAACAACTACTGAATGGATCTTGTAAGACTGCAATTTATGGTTATAAGAATGAAGTGGGATATTAGGGGTTCTAAAAATATAAAGCCCCATTTCCAACAAAGAAACTTTCTTTGGGTGTTATGGTTTAGTCCCCCTCACCAGGAGGGTGAGGGAGAACTGGGGTTGGACTCAAGATGGCCGACCCAGGTGCTAGTACAAAAAAGGAGGTTTAATGGAATAAAAACATAACAGGGTCCATAATACATACAACCAGAGAAGGGCAGTGATGACTAGGAGACCAGGACGAACAGGTAAACACACAAACTGACGGCAGGAACTAGGATAGCAGGAGGATGAGAACGGACAGGTGAACAAAAAGAACCAACGTAAACAATGCAATCCACAGC